TTTTTCTGCAATTAACAATATACTATAATTTCTTCATTTCTTAATTAGTTACATAACAATAGCAATCTTACTACTGTTCTCTTTAGTCTATTAATGTAACTCTTTTTCCTTTTCTTCCTCATTTAACCATTTTCTCTTGGGCTCTCAAAAATTCCACTTTTAATTGTTTTTCTTCTTTTCTCCCCCTTTTCCCTAACTTCTTCTTTGAGAAATTTATTATCTTTTGGAATCATAGATTGAAAAGAGACGAGAAGACATAGAATGAAAAGACAAAGAGTATGATGAGTATAATTGGATATGAATATTGAATGGTACCCATGTAAGGAAGATTAGAAATCCCTTTGGATTATATGTACATAAAAGTTAATTAAAAAAAGGAATCAACTTAGACACAGTTAAGGTTTTGATTATTAGGGGGAAAATGTTATGATACAGGATATAGTCAAATAAAGAAGGGATAAGAATAACAACGTATATATAGATATGGGTATAATATAAGGAAACTGGATGTAAACTTTAAACAGTGATCTTGGAAAGAAGGATTAGAAAACTTTGTTATTAAATATTATGGATGTTTAGCTAGAATAGGACATAAGGATTTAGTGTTAGTGGAGGATTTTAGAAATAGTAATTGGAAGGCCAGTATGTTGTTATGTATTAAATTTTGGTATATTTTATGATGGACGCTTAAACAATTATAGTCAAATGAAAATGGAGATATGAAGATGGTGACATGTATAAATATTTGAGTTAAAATGCTTGAGATAATATGAATTATGTTTGTTGACTGTGGAAGAGATGCACGAAAGCCTCTTTGTAACCAACTGATACACTTTCTACAGCATGTAAAGAAGGATATTGTGTTTGTTTTAAATTAAAAATAAAAAATTTTTTAAAAAGAAAAGACAAAGAGAAATGAACCCCGTTGAATTCAATGGGTCTTTTTCTCTGGGAAAACAGATGTAGGTTTGGAGGCAATGATTTTACTTAAGAATATGCATCACAATTTTAATTATCAGTGATATTATAGTTTTATATGGACAATGTAGCTTCTTCTCTGGTAATATTGTAATGCTAACCAGAGCATACAAAACATTTGCTAGACCAATTCTTGAATACAACTCATCTGTCTGGAACCCGCACTGTATATTATACATTAATACAATTGAGCGAGTCCGGAGATATTTCACGAAAAGAGTCCTCCGCTCCTCTGCTCGCAACAGAATACCTTATGCCACCAGGCTTGAAATTTTGGCCTTAGACAACTTAGAACTACGCCACTTTCAGTGGTTTCTTCCCCAAACCCCCACAACTTTAACCTTAGATTGTCTACTGTTGGCTTCACCCCATTCCTAAGAGGTCTGTAAGGGGCGTGCATAAGCGTACCAACGTGCCTACTGTCCCTATCCTACAACCCCATTTATTCGTATCCATTTCATGTATTCATAATCTTGTGTGTACTTGTATCTATTATCTTATACACACTTGACAAAACAAACAAATAAATAAAATAAATGTTTATATTAAGTCAGGTATTTCTGTTTGCAAAGGAATTAGAAACCCATGTGATTAGCTAGGAACTAATTAGTAATTAGTTGAAACTTACAAAGGAAGGCAAATATATGTGTTCCAGGATAAATTTTGCAAGATCCAATCTGGGTCAATCACCAGGACCAGAGGTTTAGTCTTCTGAGCTTTCGGATTCGTGCTGGAGCCCATCCTCAGGGAGCTTCTCTCTAGCAGTGTGTGTGCTTTGGGCTATTCGCTTGTGTGGTATATATATATGATGCCTTCCATCTGTCAGGGTTCCAAATAGCATTCTCAAACAAATACGAATCTGAGGCTTGGGCTTCCTCAAAACTCCAATTTATTAAGAGAGCCATGTTGGCACATCTGGGAAAAACCAAATCTGAAAGCCTCCAGGTTTTCCCACCCAGTTGAAAGTTCAAGACCCTGCCCACAACACCCACAAGCATATCACATGGTCCAATCTTTCATTACCACGAAGGAAGATTCCTCCCATACACATCTGTCCAGGCGCGGGGACAAAAGCAACCTTGACTTTTGGAGAAAGAATGTTATTATGGCTACATACCACTCAACTCTGTATAATCCCCTCTCCCATTCTCCCACAGTAGAAAGTGTGGCAGGCTTGCAATCCAAAAGGCAAAAAATAGCTTTCAGGCCTGACACCATCAACACACCAATCAATCAATTGCCAGGAGCCAAATAAATATGATGCATAAAATAGCCCAAAGGACATATTTCAGTAGAGAAGAGTTCACTGAGGATGGGCTCCAGCACAAGTCCAAAAGCTCAGAAGTCTAAACCTCTGGTTCAGGGGTGAAATTCAGCAGGTTTTGACAGGTTCTGGAGAACCGGTAGCGGAACTTTTGAGTAGTTCAGAGGACCGGCAAATATCACCTCTGGCTGGCCCCAGAGTGGGGAGGGAATGGAGATTTTGCAGTATCCTTCCCCTGCCACGCCCACCAAGCCGCAGAACCGGTAGTAAAAAAAATTGAATTTCACCATTGCTCTGATCCCAGTGACCGACTCAGATTGGATCTTGGTTAGGAACTAATCAAACATTGGGAGGAGACCTGTTGCAAAGAAGTGAAACTCTTACTTATTATGAAACTCTTACTTATTAAGACCCAAAATATTCATCAGAAGAATTCCACTTCAATGGATACTATGGGTCATTCAACTAATAGGGGTAAAAGCTAAAGAAGCCTTGAATGAAGCATCTGATGAAGTGAGTTGCAGATCACACAAGTATATGCTTTTTAATAATAATAAATTTTTAAAAAATGGGTCAGAAAAGGTGTAGTGTCCAAATTGGTTCAGGGTCTCCTGTTTGAACAGGGATTGGACTAGAAGACCTCCAAGGTCCCTTGTTATTCCATTATACCAGAGTCCTTCTAACCTCTGGCAACAAAGGACTATCATCTATCTTCCTACAATGTCACCTCAAGCCACTGTTCAATTATAACCCTTACTGGGTATGTCAGTCCTTTAGCTTAGCCTAACAGAGCAATCCAAGGGGCTATGGATTGATCACTGCTAGTCAGAATCCCTCATGCTAAAGTCTAGCACGGTATCCTACATTATGATCCTTCATGTTGTACATTTTGTACTAGGACTGTAGGAAATACCCATAATCAGGGGTGAAATTAACTTACCTTCACTACAGGTTCACAAATGTGAGTGAGTGTGAGCTTCTGCACATGCGCAGAGCATCAAAAATGGGACGTGATGATGTCTGGGCGGGTGGCTGGAGCCTGCTATTGAGTGCACCTGCAAAGGTAAGTAGAACAGTGGGGGGCAGGGGGGAATCCGCTGTGCCATGTGATTTAGATTAGTTAGAAAGCAGGAAATCCAACGATTCTAGGTAATATACAGTAAATCACACATCACAGCTGATTGTCGGAAATACCAGTTTGCCTGAACTGGTAGCATTTTATAACTACCAGTTCAGGCAAACTAGTCTAAGCTGGTAGCATTTCACCTCTGCACGTAATAAATAAACTGCAGGACATACTCATTTTTCTCTGGGTTATCTTTAGAGTAACCAAATACATGAAATGGGGGTGAGGCAGTGGTGAATTTCAAATGTTTTACTACCGGTTCTGTGGGCATGGCTTGGTGGGGTGGCAGGGGAAGGATAAGGCAAAATCTCCATTCCCATCCATTCCAGGGGAAGGATACTGCAAAATCCCCTTCCCACCCCACCTTGGGGCCAGCCAGAGGTGGCATTTGCCGGTTCTCCGAGCTACTCAAAGTTTTTGCTACTGGTTCTCTGTCAGAACCTGTCAGAACCTGCTGGATTTCACCCCTGGGGAGGGAGGGATAAAGGAAAGGGGACAGCCACGCTTCTCCTTCAGTTTTCTCTACATGATGGATAGAAATACTGAGGCATAATGTAACTGTTTGATTCTGCCAAGATTTCTCTTCTGATGGTTCTTTCAGCTTTTTGCAAGGGCCAAATGAGAAGCACCTGCTTATAAACAGTGTAAGTAAAAGGGAGTTTTGCGAATTGCTCATTACATCAAGCCTCAAACTCCAGATAAGAATGTCTGCCATTAAACTGTAAGACAAAGCGAAAGGATTCAAGATTACAAAATAGGCATCCTTCATGTTTTTTGATTTTGTAGGTTTGAGCTTGAAAAAGAATGATTTAATTTCAGTGGCAGGTGTTTCGTTATAGGGAGAAATCTCTGGGTCAAAGGAGAGAGCTGATAGGGGCAAATCTAGTTTTCCCAAGCTAAGATGTCCATCTCCAATCTTGCAACTTTAAACATAATTTTGTGTCCCAGTTTATTCTGAAAGCGGCAACCACCAATGTTATTTTAGCCTGGTGTTTCTCCAGTTTTGTTGTGGCCCGCTGGCAGCCAGCATAGCTGGCAGCAGAGTCAGACAGTGAGGAGGTTGGGGAGGAACATGGACCAGTCCTGGGGGTTGAGGAAAGCTCAGATGAGGGCTCTGCATCGGAAGCAGAGAGGGAGCTGGACAACAGTGAGGCAGAGGAACAGCTGGAGCCTGTTCCCAGTGCGCGCATGCGCAGAGCTGCCAAAAGACAAGAACAACTAAGAATGCAGAGTCGACTTGGGAATAAAGCTACACCTCGGAAGTGATTGGCCCCTCCCATAGGAAACAAAAGAGGAGCAAATGGGAAGGGGGCTTTTGCAGAAAACAATTTGTTCATTCAGTCGTATCAAGAGTGGAAAGTTCTGTTTGTGACTATAAGAGACTCTGTGCCAAGTGTTGCCTTGCACTGCATTTGGCAACTAGTTATTTGGAAGCTCTCCAAACGAGATAAGGTTCGTGTTGATAAACATTCCTCTGAAAGACTGTTTGCTAATCCTTGCAGACTGTGGATGAAATGAATTCACAGTCATGTAAATAAAAGGGGTTTAGCCAGGACCAAGACTCTGATTCTTGCTGTTTAAGGAAACCTGGGTCAGAACAAGTTTTACCTCTTCTCAGGTTTTTGAAGGTGCTCAACATCTCTTCCTTGTCCTCACAATTTTGCTGTAGTAGCGGATGGGAAGCCCCGAAGACCCAATGAGATACACGTCAAAAAGGTAGGCCGTCCCTGCTTCCAGGCCCCGGATGGTTTCTGTAGTCACAGCTCGCTGCAGATTGAGATTGTGGAAGAATTTGCAGAGCACTTTTTCACTCTTCTGCCTTGACTCTGGCCCAGAGCACCTATCGGCCTTCCTGATGGCCACCCATGCCTGGTCCTCCTCAATCTCCTTCTTGTAGATACAATACTTGCTCAATTCCTGAGTTCCAAGCCAGGCGATGGTGACGGAATGGCAGCTCCTCAACTTGTTAAAGGATTTGATTTTTAAGCTCTCTGGGAGAGTTGGGAAGAAAGGCCGATGGGGGAGAGAGGACACCTGAACCTTCACGGATGCAGCTGATGTTTCAGCGGACCAGAGATGGACCAGGTAGGTGTCGCCCAACCTTCCTTTCAGGATGAATTGCCTCAAGCCAGCAAATCGCTCTGACATCAGGACTTCCCCGTCCTTGGATATTTCCACCTGGAGTTGCCCGCTGCAAGACTGGAAGGCAAATTGGACCTGTTTCTGCGTTGCCTGGTATAGCAAATTGTAAAAGGGATGTTTCCTCCCATCCAATCTCAACTGAATCACCTTCCCATCCTTCAGCTTGCCCACGTTGGGCTGGGGATTTTCCAGAGTGCGGGCAAAGGTTCCAGTATAAGCAGCACTGGTGTTGGTGAGGAAATTGACGGCAAAAACATCGAAGTAGTACTGAATGCCAGGAGTCAAGTGGGACACTGTGTAGGCATTGGTGAGTCCCACACAAACTGGTTTCACCTGGGCATTGCCACCTTTGTAACTCATGCTGACTTCGCTCTTGGATGGGCCTTTCAGTTCCCGAGACGTGAGGCTCTCTGTGGAAGGAGAGATCGCCAAAGAAGGAGGTCGTTTCACCCCTGAAGTTTGCGTTGCTGTTTCTGCAGCACAGAAAGTCTTGAAATTGTAGTTTTCGTTCACCAGGAGACAATAATGAATGGTACCTTGAGATGGCAGCAGGGCACTCGGACTCTGCTTCCAAGCCAGAGTTACTGTGGTGGGGCCAATCCCGATGACGTCAATGCGGGGATCCATCGGCAATTCTGGATAAAAGTGATCAGATTTGGGGTCTGTGGTCAAATAGGCTTTAATCTGGGTGTCTTTCTCAATGGAGAGGAATTCAAGCATGTAGACTGTGGAATGGTAAGATGCTCCTGTGTAAGTTTCCACCGAATTACCTTGATAACTAAAGAGAGTCTGCACCAACTTGCGGCCCTTCTGGAATCGGAGGACTTCCTGAGCATTCAAATTATCTGCCAATGAAACAGAAGACAGGTAAAGTTTTTAAAGTGAATGGAGATATGAAAAGCATACATTGACCAGTGAATACAATAGAGATACCTTGAGGAAGTCTACACTTCTTGTCTGCTTTGGTTCTGGGAATCTGGAAATAGATCCAGATCATATTTAAGTTGGGCTTGAAGTCTATGTGATTTTCCAGAGAGCCCAATGAAAGGGATTTCTATTGCTGCCTTCTGCCATTCTTTTTAAACTTTCTAGCCTAGGTTATTTCTTGGAGTCTCCCCTCCAAGTATTAACCAGGTCTGATCTGCTTAGCTTCCAGTCCCAGAAAGGATTTTGCTGGTGCGGAGACTTCAATATTATAGTTTTAATTTAAAAAAAAGAGGACTGTGAAAATATCTACAGACCCCTCATATACTGGACATAAATTGTTTCAATTTCCACCCTCACAACCACGCTATAGAGCACTGCACACCAGAACCACAAGACACAAGGACAGTTTTCCACCCGAATGGCATCACTCTATTAAACAACTAATTCCCACAACAGTCAAATTATTTACTAAGACTGTATTGCTATTCTTCTTCTCATCCTTCCTAGTACCTATCTCTTCCCATTTATGACTATAACCATGTTGCTTGTATCTTTACAATTTATATTGTTTTATTTGTTTTCTATTATGATTTTGTTGCTTATTAGTAACCTATGACTATCACTAAGTGTTGTATCTTATGATTCTTGATGAATGTATTCCATTTTATTTTTCTTTATATACACTGAGAGCATCTTCACTAAAGACAAATTCCTTGGGTGTCCAGTCACACTTGGCCAATAAATAATTCTATTCTATTCTATTCTATTCTATTTATGGATAAAAATCTTGTTGGTTAATAGTTGGTACAAATCAGGTTCCAAATGAATCTAAGCCAGTCTTCCTTTCATACACTAACTAGAGCTCTCTGTTAAGAGAAAGAGGAATGGAAGAAGGAAAAGGAGAGAGAGAGAGAGAGAGAGAGAGAGAGAGAGAGAGAAAGAGAGAGGGAGGGAGGGGAGGGAGGGCGGGAGAGAGATGTTGATTGATTCAACTTGTCTCTTGCTTACCAGAAATCGTTTTCCCAAAATGGTCTTCCGATG